CCCATTTTTTGGCACACCTCTCACACGCTCCGCGGCTCCACAGGGAGCCCCACCGAATGCCCAAGTGCCGTCGTTCGCATGCGTCCACCGCACCCATTTTGGCACACCGCTCGCACGTTTCGCGGTTCCACAGGGAACCCCACCAACGGCCCAAATGCCAGCGTTCGCATGCGGCCACCGCGTCTATTTTGGCACACCGCTCACACGTTTCGTGGCCCCACAGGGAACCCCACCGCAAACCCAAATGCCAGCGTTCGCATTCGGCCATTCCGCACCCATTTTGGCACACGCCTCACACGTGTCGCGGTTTCAAAGGAACCACACCGAAAACCCAAATGCCAGCGTTCGCGTGCGGCCACCGCGCCAATTTTGGTACCCCTTCACACGTTTCGTGGCCCCACAGGGAGCCCCGCCAAAAACCCAAATGCCAGCGTTCGCATGCGGCCATTCCGTTCATTTTGGCACAGCCGTCACACGTTTCATGGCCCCACAACCCCCACCGAAAGCCCAACTGCCAGCGTTCGCATTCGGCCACCGCACCCATTTTGGCACACGGCTCACACGTTTCGCGGTTTCACAGGGAACCCCACCAAAGGCCCAAATGCCAGCGTTCGCATGCGGCCACCGCACCCATTTTGGCACACCGTTCACACGTTTCGTGGCCCCACAAGGAACCCCACCGAAAACCCAAATGCCAGCGTTCGCGTGCGGCCACCGCGCGCATTTTGGCACTCGGCTCACACGTTTCGTACTTCCACAGGGAGCCCCACCAAAAACCCAAATGCCAGCGTTCGCGAGCGGCCACCGCGCCAATTTTTGGTACCCATGGCCCCACAGGGAGCCCCACCGAAGGCCCAAATGCCAGCATTCGCATGCGGCCACCCCATTGGTTTTGGCACACCCCTCGCACGTTTCGTGGCCCCACATGGAGCCCCACCGAATACTCAAAAGCTAGCGTTCGCATGCGTCCACCGCACCCATTTGGGCACACCGTTTACATATTTTGCGGCTCCACATGGGGCCCCACCGAAGGCCCAAGTGCCAGCGTTCGCATGCGACCACCGCACCCATTTTGGCACACTCCTCACACGTTTCACGGCCCCACAGGGAGCCCAATCGAATGCCCAAGTGCCAGCATTCGCATGCGGCCACCGCGCCCAGTTTGGCACAGCCCTCACATGTTTCGTGGCCCCACAAGGCGCCCCACCGAAGGCCCAAATGGCAGCGTTCGCATGCGTCCACCGCACCCATTTTGGCACACCGTTCGCACGTTTCGCCGGTCCACAGGGAGCCCCACCGAAGGCCCAAGTGCCAGCGTTCGCATGCGGCCACCGCACCAATTTTGGTACCCCTTCACACGTTTCGTGGCCCCACAGGGAGCCCCACCGAGCCACCACGCCAGTTTTGGTATACCCTCACACGATTCGTGGCCCCACAGGGAGCCCCACCGAATGCCCACATGCCAGCGTTCGCGTGCGGCCACCGCACCCATGTTGGCACACCCCTCACACCTTCGGTAGTCCCATAGGGGGCTCCTCCGACTGCAGTGCATACAACGACGGCATTCACAACTGCATATGGTTGGGTCCCTTGCGAGGCTAATTTCTCTTGTTGTTGAGGTTTTGTGATGATCCCCCTTCAAAGCCGTCCTAAACTCATTCTTAGGAATATGTTTGACAGGCTTGTTCCCGGACGTTTTGGGTCCTCGTTTTGAAGAAACAGCGCCCCGCGTTCACTCCTCTTCCCGCTGCCCGCTCCCTCCTTCTGTCATCGTCATCATCACCATCACCATCATCATCCTCAGCATCATGATGATGATGATGATGATGATGATGATGATGATGATGATGATGATGATGATGATGATGATGATGATGATGATGATCATCATCATCATCATCATCATCATCGGCATCATGATCATCATCATCACCAGCATCGTCATTATCGTCGTCATCATTACCATCATCGTCGTCTTCATCATCGTCGTCATCGTCGTCTTCATCATCGCCATCATCGTCATCACCATCATCGCCGTCATCAGATCCTTGCCCCTGCCATCCGCATGTCTCTGTTTCGGCACACCCAACACAGCGTTTCGTGACCCCGTGTGGAGCTCCACCGAAGGCCACAGTTGCAGGGTTCGCATGGCGGCCTCGGGCCATTTCGGCACACCCCTCACGAGGATCGTAGCCTCATATGAGCTCCACCGAAGGCGCCAGTGGCAAGGTTCGCATGGCGGCCCCGCCCCATTTCGGCGCACCCCTTACGAGGATCGCGGCACCATGGGGAGCTCCATCGAGCGCCAGTGGCAGGGTTCGCATGGTGGCCCCGCCCCATTTCGGCACACCCCTCACGAGGGTCGTTGCCCCATATGGAACTCTTACCAGTGAGTTCCACCGATGGCGCCAATGACAGGGTTCACATGGCGGCCTCGGGCCATTTCGGTACACCCCTCACGAGGATCGTGGCCCCATATGGGGGCTCCACCGAGGGCGCTAGTGGCAGGGTTCGCATGGTTGCCTCGGGCCGTTTCGGCACACCATCACACGGTTCGTGGCCTCATAGGGCGCTCCACCTACGACGATATTCACATTTGTTATATTCACAACTGCATATGGTTGGGTCTTCCGCCAGGCTATTTGTTTAGGAATCTTTTTAAACGTGATTCCCAATTATCCTGACGAGACAGCGCCCCGCGTTCACTTCTCCAGCTCACGCTGCCCCCCTCCCTCCTCCTCTCGTCCTCACCATCGGTATCGTCATCTTCATCATCACCACTGTCGGCGTCATCATCATCATCATCATCATCATCATCATCATCATCATCATCATCATCATCATCGTCGTCGTCGTCGTCGTCGTCGTCGTCGTCGTCGTCGTCATCGTAGTCATCATCGGCATCATCGTCATCATTACCATCATCGACATCATCGTCTCCGTGCCTCTGCCCTCCGCATGTCTCTGTTTCGGCACACCCAGCACAGCGTTTCGTGACCCCGTGTGGAGCTCCACCGAAGGCCACAGTTGCAGTGTTCGCACGGCGGCCTCGGGCCATTTCGGCACACCCCTCACGAGCATCGTGGCCCCGTAGGAGCTCCACCGAAGGCCCCAGTGGCAAGGTTCGCATGGCGGCTTCTGGCCATTTCGGCGCACCCCTCACGAGGATCGTGGCCCCATAGTGAGCTCCACCGAAGGCGCCAATGACACGGGTCGCATGGCGGCCTCGGGCCATTTCGGCTCACCCCTCACGAGGATTGTGGCCCCATAGGGCGGTCCACCGAAGGCGCCAGTGGCAAGGTTCGCATGGCGACCTCTGGCCATGTCGGCGCAGCCTCACGAAGATCTTGGCCCCATAGGGAGCTCCACCGAAAACGCCAGTGTCAGGGTTCGCATGGGGGCCTCGGGCCATTTTGGCACACTCCTCACGAGGATCGTCGCCCCATAAGAGCTCCACCGAATGAGCCACTAGCAAGGTTCGCTGGCGGCCTCGGGCCATTTGGGCACACCCCTCACGAGGATCGTGGCCCCATAGGGAGCTTCACCGAAGGCGCCAGTGGCAGGATTCGCATGGTGGCCCCGCCCCATTTCGGCGCACCCCTCACGAGGATCGTTGCCACATATGGAACTCTTACCGAATGCGCCAGTGGCAGGGTTCGCATGGCGGCCTCGGGCCATTTCGGTACACCCCTCACGAGGATCGTGGCCTCATAGGGAGCTCCACCGAAGGCGCCAGTGGCAAGGTTCGCATGGCGGCCTCGGGCCATTTCGGCACACCCCTCACGAGGATCGTGGCCCCATAGGGCGGTCCACCGAAGGCCCCAGTGGCAGGGTTCGCATGGCGGCCTCAGGCCATTTCGGCACACCCCTCACGAGGATCGTAGCCTCATATGAGCTCCACCGAAGGCGCCAGTGGCAAGGTTCGCATGGCGATCCCGCCCCATTTCGGCACACCCCGCACGAGGATCGCGGCACCATAGGGAGCTCCACCGAAGGCGCCAGTGGCAGGGTTCGCATGGCGGCCTCGGGCCATTTCGGCACACCCCTCACGAGGATCGTGGCCTTATATGAGCTCCGCCGGAGGCGCCAGTGGCAGGATTCGCATGGCGGCCTCGGGCCATTTCGGCACACCCCTCACGAGGATCGTGGCCCCATAGGGCGGTCCACCGAAGGCCCCAGTGGCAGGGTTCGCATGGCGGCCTCGGGCCATTTCGGCACACCCCTCACGAGGATCGTGGCCTCACATGAGCTCCACCGAAGGCGCCAGTGGCAAGGTTCGCATGGCGGTCCCGCCCCATTTCGGCACACCCCGCACGAGGATCGCGGCACCATAGGGAGCTCCACCGAAGGCGCCAGTGGCAGGGTTCGCATGGTGGCCCCGCCCCATTTCGGCGCACTCCTCACGATGATCGTGGCCCCGTGGGGAGCTCCACCGAGGGTGCCAGTGGCAGGGTTCGCATGGCGGCCTCGGGCCACTTCGGCACATCCCTCACGGGGATCGTGGCCCCATAGGGAGCTCCACCGAGGGCGCCAGTGGTAGGGTTGGTATGGCGGCCTCGGGCCATTTCGGCACACCACTCACACGATTCGTGGCCTCATAAGACGCTCCACCGAAGACGAGATTCACAATTGTGATACTCACAACTGCATATGGTTGGGTCCCGCGCCAGGCTAAGTTTGTCATTAATTCTTCTACAGGAAGGTCTTTGGAGGATTCAGTTTAAACATTTTCTTGAAAGCTTCAGGAAGTTTTTTGGATGTTTTTCCCAAACATCCTGTGGTGTTGGGTCCTCGTTTTGAAGAGACAGCGCCCCGCGTTCCTTCCTTCCTCTCCTCCTCCCTCCACCCACTGCCTCCACCTTATTTCGTGTGTTTATGATACAACCTGCGGGCGTCTGGTGGCGAAGAACATTTGCCACGCCTTGTACTTCGCTCGACGTGTGCCACCAGGGCTTCAGCATCTGCTACTGCGATTAGTGTTGTCCCCATTCGTCCCAGAGGCGACGCCATTTTCAAGCAGGACGAAGAAGGCTACCAGTTCTACATCCTGTACGACGGCGAGGCACGAGCTTCGTGGGTCTGTAGTGGCGTGGTGGTGGTGAGGCTGTGGGGCGTGGGGTGGTGAGGCAGGCGTAGGGTCAGATGGGGATGGGCGCTGCAACTTTTGCTTGTGCGCACGCGTGTAAATCTTCTTCACTTCACGGGTGTGCGTGATCGCATGCTGCCCACGCCAGCGCACATGACAGGGCATCTGTGTGTTTCCACGCGCATGCTCGCGCGCGTGCGGGAGCATTGCAGATGGAGCAGGGAAGAGGGAAGGAGGAAGGGAGGGAGGGAGGCAGGGAGAGGAGGAAGAGGAGGAGGAGGAGGAAGAAAAGGAGGAGGAGTAGGAGGAGGAGGAGGAAGAGGAAGAGGAGGAGGATGAAAGTGCGAGGGGGAGGAGGAGGGGGGGAGGGAGGAGGAGGAGGAGGAGGAGGAGGAGGAGGAGGAGGAGGAAGAGGAGGAGGCGGAGTCGGAGGAGGGGTTGTTTTGGTGGGTGTGGTGGATGAGGAGCAGCAGCGGTAGCAGCAGGAGGAGGAGGAGGAGCAGGAATGGCTGCGCTCCTGACCGACGAGGCGTTCTACGTGTGTCTCGGGCTCGGCACAGCCAAAACGATTGCCGTCGTCAGACATTGTGGCGGGGTGGAGCTCGCAAAAAAACTCGCGTTGGAGGTCCGCACCGCCGCTGCGGCAGCGGGCCATCCAGCCAGCAGAGCCACCGCGCGCTGCGCGCGCGGGAGGAGGCAGCGCCGTCCTTCTGGTGGACTCGCGGGCATCCCGCGCTGGGAGGCAGTTGCAAGGGCCGAGGTCCGACGCCGCGTCGAACAACCGAGGACGCCTGCAGGCGCCTCAGACTCCGGCTACCTGCCCCCGGCGACTCACCGGGCGACTCTGGAGGGCACGGGGGCCTCGGCAACCCTCTGGGCAGATTCGTCAGCCAGCCAGCGCGGACGGACCCGGGCTGGGCGCGGGGCGGAGGAGGGAGGAGGGGGAGGCGGAGGAGGAGGAGGGAGGATGAGCAGGAGGAGGAGGAGGAGGAGGAGGAGGAGGAGGAGGAGGAGGAGGAGGAGGAGGAGATGGATGAGGATAAGGATAAGGCCCTTGGGGGTCTGAACGTCAGCGCCTACCGAAAAAGGCATGCCGACCCCTGGGTGGGTTGTGGATGCAAGCCCTGAGGCCGTTTGGCTCCGGGGCCGCCTGGCGCGCCTGGCCCCCAGGCTGTTCTGGTGGGTCCAGTGCGCCGCTAGCACGGGGACCCTGCCTCGGAAAGAGGGAGCTGCCCACTCTGTGGGCGCACCCCCCGCCGCTGAGAGTCCGCTCACCCCCGCCCCACGCTCCCCTCCACCCCCACCCACAAGTAGAGACGAGAGAGGACAAAACAAGGAAAGCAAGCGGCCCTCAAGTTCTCGATGGCGTCCCGTCCCCACTCCATTCCGCTGCTGAGGTCGAGGCCGGGGGGGGGGACGGATGCCGAGATCAATGCCTCCGACTTGTGAGGGTGCCGCTTGGGTGTGTCTCGCCTCACTAGCTGAGACTGGAGTGCTATCACGGCTGTCCTATCTGTCGGCTGGCTCGATTTACTCTAGAAGCTCGAGACGCTCTGATATGGAAGGAGGGATATGGAATGGCCAGGCCTTCTGGGACGCTGCTCACTGTAAACCCGGAAGACAAACCGAGCTGCTCCTCCGCCCCGATGGCAGAGGAGAGGGGGAGGGTCGGGCGACCGCCGAGGTGGACTGGCTGGACCAAGTCAACTTCACCTGCCTGGCGGAACCCCTCGGCCCGAGTTCCAGGGCTGGCTGCGCGTCACCAGCACCGCCAGGCGGAGGCAAAAGAAAAGAGATGCCCCCGTGCCCCACCCTCCCCGCGGGGGAAGCGGCCCCCCTGTGCAACTGTCCTGCCGAGCCCCTGCCTTCCAGCCGCAGCAGCCCTCGGCAACGTGATGCGAATGTCCCCACCTCTATGGGATGCCTGCGAGCGCTGCTCGCTGCATTCTGCCGAGCCCCCTTTCTGGCGACGTGAGGCGAAAGTGACCACCTCTGGGCGCTCGGACAAGGAAGTGAAATATGGAATGGCGAGGCCGCAGCGGCCTCTCTGTTGGCTGCCTGCGGTCGCTGCTCACGACCTAGTGCCGAGCGTCCCTTCCTGCAGCCGCAGCAGCCCTTGGCGACGAGAGGCAGTCTCCGCATCTGGGCGCTCTGAAAGAGAAGTATGTAGTGGCAAGGCTTTGGTGGCTCACTGATCACGCCGAGCCCCCTACCCTGCAGCCGCAGCAGCCCTAGGCCCTCTGCGACTCGAGACCTGTGTCCCAGTCTTGAGGGATGCCTGCGGTCGCTGCTCGCGACATCATGCCGAGCGACCAGCCCGCGGCCGCCGCAGCTCTCGGCGAAGTGAGGCGAATGTCCCCCACTCTCTGTGCTGCCTGCGGGCTCTGCTGGCTCTGCTGCTGCTGCAGGTGGTGAGGCTGCTGCTGGGCGATCGCGATCGCAGGCTGCCGCCAGCCCTGGACGCTTTTGCTGTGGCTCGGGCATGCCGGTCTCATGCTCGGCTCGAAGAGCTGTTTGGCGGCTGGCGTGCTCGGCTGCTCGGTGCTGGCCTGGTAGGTGTCCTCGTGCTCGCTCTTGGTCCAGCGAGTGTGCACGCCCTCGAGCTCGTCGCATTGGCGCCTGGTGTAGTTCAGCTCCCATGGCATCGGGCCTTGCATGACCCTCCCACGGCGATCGCTGGTCCCAGCGTGTAGGCTCCTCGCTGCAGCGATCGCCTGCTGGATGTCCGTCTGCTGCTCCTTGATGCTGATCACGACCTGGCCGCGTTCCATCTCCTCGTGCGGGTTCAGCGACTTGCGGCTGTTGAGCCTGCCCAGCGTCGTCGTGAGCCTCTCGCGTTGCCTGTGCAGGTCGTAGAGGGAGGTCTCGCTGCTATTCGCGATCCCCTCGAGAACGTCGCTGGTCGACTGGAGGCTGTGGTGGCCTACATATTTCCAGGAGGTAGGCCATTGATCCGAATATCTGGTCGGGTGCCCCGTGGCCTCCGCGGTCGTGCGCCTTCTGGATAAAGGTTGGCTGCTGCTCGGGCTGGTCTGTGGCTGCCGTTGGATGCAGTGCGCGCGCTTTGCGTCTGCTGCTGCATCCTGTGCCGCTGCCGCTGCCCAGGCCGTTGGCCCTCTCGGTTGAGAAGACTCCACTGCCCGCTTGATCTCTGAGATGAGCTGACTGGCTGTCACGTCGTATGGATCAAGGAATGGGACAAACTGGCTACGGACCTTGGGACCGTAGTTGGTGGTTGCGCCTTGGTTTAGGATGTCTCGCTTGCCCGTCCCGTTGTATGTACATCTTACCTATCATCGTAATTTCGTTAGTTTCTAGTAGGTAGTTTGAGTGAAAAGGAGACCGTAGAAGTTAACCTGGAGGTGGGTCAGGGCGATGTGGGACCGCATACACAGTCCTTGTCCTGAGTGTAGACAAAAGTTCGGGCACGGTGTATGTTTGTTTCGTGACCGCGTAGCAGATTGTCTGTCCAAGTCAGTGTTTTTGGAAACATCTTCTGGAACCCTCGTGGCCAGCATAAGTTTTTGGAGCCTGTCGGTCATGCACGTCGGTAAGGGTGCGGGTGTGCGGGTGTACGTGATGTGTCGTGCCGAAGGCTTGGGGAGGAGGAAGAGTGGTGTGGGTGGTGGTGGGAGTGGGAGGTAGGTGGTGGCGATCCGTGTAGTAGATGAGGTGGCTGCTGGCGGTGAATGTGCCAGCCTCCCACCCATACCTTTTTTGCCACTGTTTGGTAGTAGCCCCTCGGCCGTAGATCTCTGTAGTGGGTAGCCATTCGATAGAGGAAAGCCATGTGCCCTCCATGTCTGTCTGCTCACGGAGACTGGTCATACGAACGAGGTCCGTGCTGATCTGCTGTGAAATCTGTTCCTCTCAAGTTACTGGCGGTGCGGAGGGTGGCCATGCACGCGGGCCGCTCGTGGCGCTAGGGCTGGGGGCTGGCGAGGCACCAGGGAAGCCTGCACTGGCCTCCTCTCCAGCTGTGGGTTGCCCCGTAGGTGGCCGTGCGCGTGGGCCGCCCGTGTCGCTAGGGCGAGTGACTGGCGAGGCACTGGAGGCGCCTGAACTGGCCGCGCCTCGAGTTGGCGCGGCCTGCTGTGTGTGGCCCGCGGGGCTCTCTCGCCCTGGGCGGGGCAAGCTGCTGGGCAATGCGGCGTGCTGCCCTACGCCCCGCGCCTGTTGAGCTGCGCCCCCACCGCCTTTCCAGGCCCGTCTTCGGGCCTCCCGACCGGCTCTTCACGGCCCCTAGGTACGCCAACGCGTGGCCCAGCGCCTGCTTGAGCATGTCTCCCTTAAAGCCCAGGATCGTGTCGTACTGCGTCTGGTCTAGGTTCTTGGCGTACAGCACTGCGCGGAAGCTCGGCGACGTGTTGATCGTATAGGTGAGCTTCGCCTTGCACTGCTTGGTGTCCATCTCCACTTCCTCGTCGCTGCTCTTGTTGTACGCCTCCTGGATTCTGCACTGCACGAAGACCTCCGTGATGAACATGGGCCCCCACGGCTGGTCGAGCTGAGCCATGAACTCTTTCAGCGCCTGCTTGACAAACTGCATCGGTGCGTCGAGGTCGCTCTTGGTGTTGAGTATCTGCGCGATCTCCTCCACGGGCGATGTCGCCACTTGGCCGTGCGGAGGCCCGAGGCCGTGACCCTTGCCCAGCTCTTTCACTTTCCGTCCATATTGTTTGCCTGTTGCCATGGGCGCCTGCACCCAGTCGGGCCCTAGCGGCGTCAGCCAAAACCCTCCCGCGAGGTACAGGACGTTGCGGATCTCGGGCGACCTGCCGCAAGGTGAGCTTCTGCAGCGCCCTCAGCTGGTCCCTCACGTCCGCCTGCGCGCCTCCGCCGCCGCCATGGCCCCCCAGCCGCCGCGGCGCTGGGTGTGCGGCCTGCGCCCGTGAGCCCGTGCCCACGTTGGCGCGCCGCGGGGGGGGGGGGGGGCCGGCCCACTGCTGCCGTCCGCTGCGGGCGCTCGGCTGCTG